TTCTATAATGAATATTACTAATTCTCAAAATCAGAAAACTGGGAAAAGTACAGTATTACAAGCTCTATGATATGTAGACCTAACTATAACTACAGTAATGTTTCTAGTACTGTAATCTTCCATTCCGGAACACAATCCAAACATCCAGTTGACATTTAGTTATTATATTATTCTACTTTGTGATAGTTCATTAGTATTTTTTATCATCTGTGAATACACCTGTGAAAATAAGTCATCAGTTATTTTACTAGAATGTTTCTGAATTGGCTTTGTCTAGTAATTTCTCTTTTTGGTTGAGGTTGTGCATTTTTAGCACAGATATCACAAAAGTGCTTCCTGCTTTGCTTATCTCAGTTCAGGGTTAGGGAGGTGCGTGCTTTCTCAATCACTTAATTAAGAAACATGAAATTGTTGTATTTTCCTTTTGTAAATTAAAAGGCATTTTAAACTATTTTCCTTTTGACTTTCTTTTAAACTAATAGAAGTCAGAGTATAAATACTTGAGGCTATAAAAATATTCTGTATCGAAAGCCTCTGCAGTATAGACTGTCAAAGCAGATGCTGAGCCTGATGGCCAACTGATGGGCAGAGTGAATGGAATTTTATGTAAGAAGTGGGAAATAGTAAGAGCTGGAGGGGACGGGAACTCCACAAGGAGAGCAACAGAACAAGATAATTTGAACACAGGGAACTTCCCAGTGACTTGTACTCCAACCAAGGACTATTTGTGGAGATGACCTGGAACCCCTGCACAGGTGTAGCCCATGGCAGTTCAGTGTCCAAGTGGGTTACATAGTAATGGGAACAGGGACTGCCCCTGACATAATCTGATTGGCCTGCTCTTTGATCACCTCCCCCAGAGGGAGGAGCAGCCTTACCAGGCCACAGTAGAGGACAATGCAGCCACTTTTGATGAGAACTGATAGACTAAGATCAGAAAGGAGAGGAGAACCTCCCCTATCAGTGGACTTGGGGAGGGGCATGCATGCAGAAAAAGGAGGGAGGGTGGGATTGGGAGGGGAGGAGGATGGGGCTTATGGGGGGATACAAAATGAATAAAGTGTAATTAATAAAAAAATTATTCTGTATCGCTTCAAAACTTTAGACATTGATTTTAACGTCTCAGAAAAATTTTTCCCAACACTTCCGCTTTAACGGTTATTACTGCATATAAGTAAGATCAGAATAATGAGTCTGGGGAGTGGATAATTATTGCTCTTCTGCTTTGATGAGTCATGCCTGACAAAGTTATTACTTGCAGTTTTAGTGGAATGGTAATTTTTAAAATTTCCTCCGAAATTTCTGCACATTTAATTGGAATTTTATTTTTGTTTCATTATATGCACATAGAGACTCACAATACTCATTTACTTTTCTGGATTATAACAGTTGTTACCACTAATAATTGCTTAAGCGTTGGCCATTGGAAGCTCCTTCGTGTTAGCTCCTGTGTCTTTTCAGCTGCACATGCATCATGACCTCCAGAGCCTTATCTTTGAAATGAACCTACCACTTCTCCAAGGAAGAGCATTCTCTTCTTAGGGAATGATAAGAATCCAATTATCTGGCACTAGCTAACCTTTTATGTTCATCTTTCATCACTTGTAGATCCCATCCACACAGACAGAAAGCACAGAATGCTGACTGGTCCCACCCCACACATATTTTTGACGTTTTAGTCTTTCTCTTGATCTTTTCAATACTTCTATATGACATAAATGTATATATTTTATATGTGTGTTTTTCTGAAACTATGATGTTGAGAATCAGCGGGCTGGGTTCTTTTCCTCTACCCATCTAAGGGACTCATACAGGGGGAAAAGCTAATCCTGTGCCAACAATTCCAGGCCTTGTGCCCAAAGCCTGGCATGTGGTCTGATCTAATGGCACACAGAGCAAAGGCTAACATATCACTGCCCTGAGAACTAGCTGTTCTAATTCAATGAGCTGAGTTTACATGTGCTGAGGAACATGAAATTGTAGCATGAGATTACTTAGAAGCAATTTGTTGAAGGATCCCCAAATGTATGTCGATTCATCTGCACATAAATAAATCTATCCATTTTAGAGAATTTTACAAATATACCAATGAATTTTAGTTTACTGTTGTTTCTTCTCCCATAATATCACTAATATTTCCTTTAAAAACATTAATGTCATAGAAAATATTGACAATTATTTTTCATATTTTTCTTTAATAGTTCACAGCATATAGTTTCAAAACTTGAGTTTTCTTTGTTAGAATGTTTATATGTTTTGTAAACAAAATTCACAAAAGAACTATTTAATTCTAGATTATGTGCCTATAATTACATGTGAAGAATTGAAAAACTTTTATGAGAGGAAATACACTGCTCCATAGAAATATGAAAATATTTTAAGTATTGGACTAACCTACTAAACTTATTTAGTAGCAAACATTTTCCCTCATTTGCAATTAAAAATACTGCTGAGAACACTGAAATAAAATGATGGCTTGTAGCTGTCTTTATTTTATTTTATTTTATTTATTTATTTATTTATTTATTTTGAATAGAATTTTTTTTAAAATTCTTTATTAATTATCCTTCATTCACTTTGTATCTCCCTATGGTTCCCTCCCACCTCCCTTCCCAATCCCTCCCTTCCTTTCCTCTCTTCACACATGCCCCTCCCCAAGTCCACTGATAGGGGAGGTCTACTTTTCCTTCCTTCTGATCCTAGTCAATTAGGTCTCATCAGGAGTAGCTGCATTGTCTTCTTCTGTGGCCTAGTAATGCTGCTTCCCCCTCAGGGGGAGGTAATTAAAGAGCAGGCCAATCAGTTCATGTCAGAGACAGTCTCTGTTCCTATTACAGTAGAACCCACTTGGACACTGAACTGCCATGGGCTACATCTATGCAGGGGTCTTAGGTTATCTCCATGCATGGTCCTTGGTTGGAGTATCAGTCTCAGGAAAGACCCCTGTGCTCAGATGTTTTGGTTCCGTTGCTCTCCTTGTGGAGTTCCTGTCCTCTCCAGATCTTACTGTTTCCCACTTCTTTCCTAAGATTCCCTGCACTCTGCCCAAAGGTTGGCCATAAGTGTCAGCATGTGCTTTGATAGTTTGCAGGGCAGAGTCTTTCAGAGGTCCTCTGTGTCAGGCCCCTGACTTGTTCCCTCTTTTCACCTGCTTCTGATGTCCATCCTCTTTGCCTTTCTGGATGGGGATTGAGCATTTTAGTAAGAGTCCTCCTTCTTGATTAGTTTCTTTAGGTGTACAGATTTTGGTAGGTTTATCCTATATTATATGTTTATATGAGTGAGTATATACCGTGTGTATCTTTCTGCTTCTGGAATAGCTCACTCAGGCGTGAGTAAGCTATTTTAACTAATTTATTTGGGCTCTTACAACTCTACCTTGCTTACAACCCTTATCCACCCTAAAACCTTTCAATACCCTAACACTAGATAGGAGAGAATGAAGGTTAGAGGGAAAAGGGACAGCCTATGTCTCTTTATTATTTCATGCTCTTCAGGGTTAGAGACATAGTTCCTTGGCAAGTCCAATCTTTTTTTTTAATTTATTTTATTTTTGTTAATTACAGTTTATTCACTCTTTATCCCCCCTGTAGTTCCCTCCCTCCCTCTTCCCCAGCTGTACCCCTTCCCCAGTCCACTAATAGGGAAGGCCCTCCTTCCCTTCCATCTGATCCTAGTCTATCAGGTCTCATCAGGAGTGGCTGCATTATCTTCCTCTGTGGCCTGGTAAAGCTATTCCCCACTCAGGGGGAGATGATTAAAGAGCAGGCCAATCAGTTCATGTCAGAGGCAGTCCCTGTTCCCATTACTATAGAACCCACTTGGACACTGAACTGCAATGGGCTACATCTGTGCAGGGGATCCAGGCCATCTCCATGAGTGGTCCTTGGCTGGAGTATCACCACTTTGGAAATCAATCTGGAGCTTTTCAGACAATTAGGAATAGTGCTTCCTCAAGATCCAGCTATACCACTCCTAGGCATATATCTAAAAGATGCTCCAGTATACAAGGACATTTGCTCAACCATGTTTTAGCAACTTTATTTGTAATAGCCAGAAGCTGGAAACAGCCCAGATGCCCTCAGCTGAGGAATGGATACAGAAATTGTGGTACATCTACACAATGGAATATTACTCAGCAATTAAAAAAAAAACAACAATAACAACAAGGAAATCATGAAATTTGTAGGCAAATGTGGGAGCCAGAAAAGATCATCCTGAATGAGGTATCCCAGAAGCAGAAATACACACATAGTATATACTCATGTGTAAGTGGATATTAGACATATAAAATAGGATAAACATACTAAAATATGTACACCTAAAGAAACTAAGTAAGGAGGAGGACCCTGGCTAAGATGCTCAATCCCCATTCAGAAAGGCAAAGAGGACGGAGGAGGGAGAAAACAGGGAACAGGACAGGAGCCTACCACACAAAGGGCCTCTGAAAGGCTCTACCCAGCAGGGTATCAAGGCAGATGCTGAGACTCATAGCCAAACTTTGGGCAGAGTGCGGGGAATCTTATGAAAGAAGTGGGAGATAGTAAAACCTGGAGAGGATAGGAGCTCCACAAGCAGAGCAACAGATCCAAAAAGTCTGGACACAGGGGTCTTTGCTGAGGCAAGTTCAATCTTTGTTTCAGGGTTATCTCTTCAAACTGCAACAAGAACAACCAGGAACTGCAGGGGGTAGCACCAGCAGCTTTCTTTGTTTTCTCCAGAGTTTTCAAGATTAAACTATCTGAAGCTGGCAAAGAGCCCCTCTCAGAGCCTGCAGGAGGCAAATAGTTTGCTGCAATCTGTATCAGCCCCAAATCCCACACCTCAGATTAAAACAAAAACATGTTTACATAACATAAGTGATTTTTAAAGACACTAAAACTTCCACTGCAATGATTATTAAAGGTTCTTATAAGGCAGACAAGAAGAGCACTCATTATTTGTTTGTTTTCTGTGACAGACTATACCCTTTCCAAAGAGATGGTCTTCAGGGTCCTTGGTTACCTATTCAGTATCAGAACGTTTCTCAGGCCCAGAGTTCTTCTCAGTGCTGCCTTTACTTCCTTGTTCCGTAAACTATAGATGATGGGGTTCAGCATGGATGTCACTGCTGTATAGAACAGGGCCAAGAGTTTATCCACTCCTGGTGAGTGGCTAGACTTGGGCCTCAAGTAGGTGGCAGATGTTGAGCCATAGAAGAGCGTCACTACAAGTAGGTGGGAGGAACAGGTGGAAAGAGCTTTATGGCGCCCCTCAGGTGAAGGCATCACCAGCACTGCAAACAGAATTCTGACATAAGAAGAAATGATCAGTAAAAATGGGCTGGATATGCAGAGCACTGCTGCCACAAAGATCGCAGCCTCATTCTGGGATGTATCTCCACAGGCAAGCGCTAGGAGAGGTGGAAGGTCACAGAAGAAGTGGTCTATCTCACAGGGTCCACAGAAGTTCAAGGAGAAAATAAAATTTGTCTGTCCCAACCCTACGATGCATCCCATTCCCCATGAAACTATTGCCAAATGGGCACAAACCCCACGACTCATTCGGGTTGCATAGTGGAGTGGGGAACATATGGCCATGTAGCGGTCAAAGGCCATGGCTGCCAGTAGGCAGCACTCAGTTATACCAAAGAATATGAAGAAAAACATCTGTGTAGCACAACCCTCCCGAGAGATCCCCCGGGCCTCACTCACAAGGCTCTGTAACATCTTGGGTATGACAGAGCAAGTGTAGCCAATCTCCAGGAGAGACAAGTTGGCCAGGAAGAAGTACATGGGGGTGTGTAGGGCTGGACTGGTGCAGATGGCAAGGGCTATGAGTGCATTGCCTTTCAGTGATACTAAGAACATGAGGAGGATGAGGGTGAACAGCAGGAAGCATTCTCCAGGGGCTTCAGAGAACTTGGCAAATGTAAAGCGTTTGACAGAGAAGCTGTTCTCCTGCCACAGAGAACAATTGACACTCATCTCCTGGAAGAGAGAACAAGTCATTAGAAGCATTCTTGTAGATGAGGAAAATTATTCAGGCTCTGACTCTTGTCTCTCTCTCTCTCTCTTTCTCTCTCTCTCTCTCTCTCTCTCTCTCTCGTGTGTGTGTGTGTGTGTAATGTATATACATGCAATGTCATATGCCAATGTCAGGTATTTTTCTTGGTCAGTCTCCACCTTATTTTTTGAAACAGGGTATGTTACTTAACCTGGAGATACTTGTTTCTGCTAAACTGAGTCAGGGATGTGCCTGCTTTTGCCTTTCATACCCTTAGTATTGGAATTACATATATATATGCTGGATCTCCCAGTCCTTCATGGAAAACTCAGTTCTTCACACTACTCACTGAACCATTTCTACAGCACCTCATTTTACTAATTATAGAGCCTCAGTTAAATTAGAAATTTGTTAGCTGAAATTTTAAAATTAAAAATTTCAGAAATTATGATCACCATAACGAGTTTTTCAAAACAAATTCTTTCCCTATTCACACTACTAGGTGATTTTTCCAATATTACTTAGTTGTCAAGCATTAAATGGCAAAATATATCGGTGGAAGGTGGCCTATCCTTTACTCCCAAGCATTATTAGATGGCTGAGGCAGAAAGTCACTGAGTTAAATGATAGCCTGGATTACAGAGTGATACTGTGTTAACAACAACAAAAAAAAAAAACAGTAAATTAATGGTCAGTTGTCCCTTGAGGCTCCCTTTAGTCAATTGTCAATGCTAGTATGAAAAAGTCCTTTCAAATTTATTTTGGTTTTGTCATTCCTGTTACCACTTTCCGTCTTTACCATTTGCTTAGTAAGAACTGAGCCTGACTGTCTTGCACTTGCTATTGTTGATATTCAATTCCAATCATTAATAATTATACTTTTCCTTAAATCAGATTTATATCTTAGTCATGGAAAATTAATATCAAAAAACCATTCTACAAACTAATCATTGCACAAGTAAAATCTGGGCACGTCTTTGCCACTGAACACTTAGATGAGTTGGTAAGAGTTTTGAGAACAGCACTGTGAGCTCAGTGAGATGAACTCACCTTCTTTTTCTCCTGCTCATTTTCTCACAGGCTGGTGCTTCCTTGACTGTTCACCTGGTGAACAGCTCAGTGCCAGCACAGCTGTCTGCTCTCGGGCAGTTCCTTCCAACTCCTGTTTCTTTTCTCCTGTTCCAGTTAGTAACAGCCCTCTAGTGTAGATACTCCAGTCTGCATTTGTTCTGATGGTACTTACCATTCTGGTAATGTTTCCTTGATAAATTCTTTCAGATCATGGTGTCACTGGTAGTCACAGTATGAGATTTTCTTTCTTTACTTTTATTTATTATTACATCTAACTCCGTTACTAATTGGATAAGTCCTCATGTAAAGAAAGGAAGCTTCAGTCTTTAACTTTTCTCAGGCTGCCTGTATATTTTGCCCATTGCTGCACCTGATAGTTTCCAAAGTTCAGTCTGATCCTTTTTTTAGAGTCTCAAGTGGGATATATTTTCCTATTAATCTGATAATTACTTTTTTGAAATAGGGTCTTGTAACAAATATGACTTGGAACTCACTATATAGACCAGGTTGGTCTTGAACTCACAGAGATCCACCCACCTCCACCTCTTCTGAGTGCTTGGATTAAAGGCATGTGCCACCATGCCTGTGTCTAATTATAACTTCTTTTATTAATTAAATTTTTATTTTTTAATATTAGTTACAGTTTATTTACTTTGTATCCCAGCTATAGCCTCCTCCCTCATTCCCTCCTAAACCAATCCTCCTCCCTCATCTCCTCCCTGCCCCTCTCTAAGTCCACTGATAGGGGAGGTCCTCCTCCCCTTCCATCTGACCCTAGCCTATCAGGTCTCAACAGGACTGGTTGCAATGTCCTCCTCTGTGGCCTGGTAAGGCTGCTTCCCCCATGGGGGGTTGGGGAGGTCAAAGAGCTAGTCACAGAGTTCATGCCAGAGACAGTCCCTGTTCCCCTTACTAGGGTACCCACTTGGATACTGAGCTGCCATGGACTACATCTGAGCAAAGGTTCTAGGTTATATCCATGCATGGTCCTTGGTTGGAGAATCAGTCTCAGACAAGCCTCTGTGCCCAGATATATTTGGTCCTTGTGGAGCTCCTGTCCTCTCCAGGTCTTACTAACTCTCTCTTTCATATGATTCCCTGCACTCTGCCCAAAATTTGGCCATGAGTCTCAGCCTCTGCTTAATTATATCTTCTTAATAAGATATTCCTTAATATTTTGTGGTTGTTCTGAAGTTTATATTTTCATACCCACAGTCTGAAATGCTATCTGTCAAATATCTAAATAAGCCAAATTTTCCTGAGAAAATCAGTGTAGAAGACACCATTGGCCTCTTCTGTCCTCCTCTGCCTACTTGGTGCAACCAAATATCATCAGGTCATGCTATGTTATGTGTTCAGATGCTATCAGGGTTTATTCACATAAAAAGGCACACACAATGTTACCAAATAGAACAATGGTTCACATCATTAGGTGGTGATGGTGTATGAATTAAAACCCTAATAAAGGCCAGGCTGGGCAAAAAAAAAAAAATCTCATTTGCTCACACTGTCCGCCCTAAAATTTGCTGGCTTACAAAAGGAAATTATGGTAACATATTCTGCAGTAGTTGCGCAGATAAAAATTCATAAAATAATTTAGTTTGTCAAATATTCATTATTTATCACCTGCCCAGAAATGACCACATGTGTATATATGCACACAAATGTTGTAGCCAAGTCAAGTGGCACCTGCGAGGGGAGGAAGGACTAAGAAAAAAGACAGAAAAGAGATAGATTTGGGAGGACTGTCAATAAATACTGCAGCTCCAATTTTATTTTTCTGAGCCTATTTACACAGTACTCAGAGCATAAGAAATCAAGCCAAAGGTCATTCTCAACACACAATGTTAACATAACACAGGAGAAGCAATCGTATCTCAAGAATCCACCTCTTCCTTACTCAGTCCAAGGAACAGTCAGCTTTTAGATCCAAGGCTGATGCACCTCTGGGCAGAGCATTTTATTTATCTTCATTCCAGCAAACCACATGACCTTTCCACTAGAGCAAAGAGCAAGCAGGCAAATCTACGTGAACAGAGAGCCTCTGTAAAATGGTTCCCAACATGCAAACAATCACAACAGAGTCATCCTGGTATATACAACTTTCAGGGAAGCTCAACCTATACATAATACCTGATACTTGTTACTTATTATTACTTTCATCTCTGATTCATTGAGTTTTATATTACTCTGACACTGTGGAGAAAGGAAAAGTGAACAACAACAACAAAAAAGTACACATACACATGCATTAAAATGTCACCATAATCTTGTATCCTGGAGAAAAATAGTTGTAGGATACTTTTATATGTTCAATTTGATATGCATTGATCTAAGCAATAGTTCTGGAACATTAAGGGAGAGAACAAGTCAACTCTGTGAGCAGGAGGCAAAAAGTCCGATTACATGGCCCTTCAATGCACTCAGCTATTAAGAAAATGATTGATATACTGAGCATTTTATTAGGATTCATTTGCACGTAAAGTACTTGTAGACATTTTTCCTTCACTGTAGTTTAAATTTTATATTTTTCATTTAATATTAAAATTCACATGAGGCCAAATGAAAGAAATCAAGACAATTGTTTACTTTTTTTTTTTTTTTTTTTTTGAGACAGGGACTTACTTTGTACTTACCTTTTTTTTTTTAACTCAAAAAATTTCTTGTGCATCCTGACTTTTTAGTAATAAAAAATCTTTTGTAGAGTCGGTTGCCTCATCTGTCAGTTAAAATTTACAGGTATATGTATGCCGTTGTATATTCTTACATATACAGGGAACTACATAGTTTCCTCAGTGCCATATAGAGGCCAAGGGGAAAATGTAGTCACAGAGAGGAATGTCTGACTAGTGCTTAACTGGTGACTTAAAAAAAAATGACCTTTGAAAATAGCCTCATCCCATTTAGACTGGGAAACTCAATGGAAACATCTGCATTAGTGATGAGGTCCAAAAGACTGAGGAAATGGAGGCGTCCTTGTGGAGGACAGGAGGGCAGTAAATACTGGCAACCTAAAGATCTGGGCATACTTAATTGTTTTATACGTTTAGTGCCTACAGGACAAATAGAAATATACAGCCTGTCATAAGGAATTTCAAATATTTTAAAGTTCAGAGTCAACTAAAAAATGGAGCATCAGAAGGACTGCAAATACTTTAAATTCTATTATCTGACCAAAATATTCTGTTTAGATATTTAAGAATACCAAAACACACAAAATAAATGTAGAGTCCTCAAAAGTAGTGAAATATTTAGAATCAGTAAAATTTTCTCCCCTTGTTATTTGAAATTATATCAAAGAAGCAAAATCTGACTAAATTTTCTATTGATTTTAGGTTTTCTTCAGCTGTTGACTTCATCCTCACGATGCTGAGAGCAATGTAGTAGAGTTCAGTTTGGGATTCCTAGCAGAAGGTTCTATTTTCATGACCCATGGACGGAGGAGGATGTCTCATGTACTGCATGTAGCACGTACAGGTCCACATACAGATACCAAGGCTCTTCAGAAAAAAGGAAGCAGCAGAATAGGCTGTAATGGATAAGCTTCTGTCTCTAATCTCATATACTAAAGTAAAATTTTGGATTCAATTTGAGCTGTTTCAACTTAAAGCGGCAAATGTTTTGAAGCCAACTATGGATACATAGTAAAATGTTCATTAAAATGCAGAAAAGCCTGCCCTGAAAAGTCTTTTGTGGAGGTATTCAGGGACATTGTGTGGCTGTCCTCTGTGGTGACCAACCTATGAGCCACGGTAACAGAATGAAGCCACCCAAACCGCTTTATCATATACTGTGTTCCATACCAATTATGAGTTCCGTTCTATTCATAGATCAATGTTATACAGATCCTGTGTGCAGTCAACACTGGTAAGGTTTAGAAGGTTGACATCATGAGGTGTGTTTTTAGTGGTAGGTCAGTATAGGAAAGGCA